TTAGGGTTTCTTTCTTGTTCTTTCTCCAGCTCCTTTAGGTGTAGGGTTAGGTTGTGTACTTGAGACCTTTCTTGTTTCTTGAGAAAGGCTTGTATCGCTATATATTTTCCTCTCAGGACTGCCTTTGCTGTGTCCCACAGATTTTGAACCATTGTGTTTTCATTATCATTTGTTTCCATGAATTTTTTCAATTCTTTAATTTCCTGGTTGACCCATTCATTTTTTAGAAGGATGCTGTTTAGTCTCCATGTATTTGGGTTCTTTCCAAATTTCCTCTTGTGATTGAGTTCCAGCTTCAGAGCATTGTGGTCTGAAAATATGCAGGGAATGATCCCAATCTTTTGATACCGGTTGAGACCTGATTTAGGACCCAGGATGTGGTCTATTCTGGAGAATGTTCCATGTGCACTAGAGAAGACTGTGTATTCTGTTGCTTTCGGATGGAATGTTCTGAATATATCTGTGATGTCCATCTGGTCCAGTGTGTCCTTTAAGGCCTTTATTATCTTCTTGATCTTTTGCTTAGATGATCTGTCCATTTCAGTGAGGGGAGTGTTAAAGTCCCCTACTATTATTGTATTATTGTTGATGTATTTCTTTGATTTTGTTATTATTTGGTTTATATAGTTGGGTGCTCCCACATTAGGGGCATAGATATTTAAAACTGTTAGGTCTTCTTGTTGGACAGATCCTTTGAGTATGATATAGTGTACTTCCTCATCTCTTATTACAGTCTTTGGCTTAAAATCTAATGGATCTGATATAAGGATTGCCAACCCAGCTTTCTTCTGATGTCCATTAGCATGGTACATTGTTTTCCATCCCCTCACTTTAAACCTGGAGGTGTCTTCAGGGCTAAAATAAGTTTCTTGTAGACAGCATATTGACGGGTTTTGTTTTTAAATCCATTCTGATACCCTGTGTCTTTTGATTGGGGCATTTAGCCCATTTACGTTCAGGGTAACTATTGAGAGATATGAATTTAGTGCCATTGTATTGTTTGTAAGGTGACTGTTACTGTATATTGTCTCTGTTTCTTTCTGATCTACTACTTTTAGGCTCTCTCTTTGCTTAGAGGACCCCTTTCAATATTTCCTGTGGAGCTGTTTTTGTGTTTGCAACTTCTTTCAGTTTTTGTTTGTCCTGGAAGATTTTATCTCTCCTTCTATTTTCAATGATAGCCTAGCTGGATATAGTATTCTTGGCTGCATGTTTTTCTCGTTTAATGCTCTTAATATATCATGCCAGTTTTTTCTGGCCTGCCAGGTCTCTGTGGATAGGTCTGCTGCCAATCTAATGTTTTTACCCTTATATGTTACAGACTTCTTTTCCCAGGCTGCTTTCAGGATTTTCTCTTTGTCGTTAAGACTTATAAATTTTACTATCAGGTGACGAGGTGTGGACCTATTTTTATTGATTTGAGGGGCGTTTTTAGCATCTCCTGGATTTTGATGTTTGTTCCCTTTGCCATATTAGGAAAATTCTCTCCTATAATTATCTCCAATATACCTTCTGCTCCCCTCTCTCTTTTTTCTTCTTCTGGAATCCCAATTATTCTAATGTTGTTTCATCTTATGGTGTCACTTATCTCTCGAATTCTCTCCTTGTGGTCCAGTATATGTCTCTCTTTTGCTCAGCTTCTTTATTCTCTGTCATTTGGTCTTCTATGTCACTAATTCTTTCTTCTGCCTCATTTATCCTAGCAGTAAGAGGTTCCATTTTTGATTGCACCTCATTAATAGCTTTTTTTATTTCAAATTGGTTAGATTTTCCTTTTTTCACTTCTCCAGAAAGGGCTTTTATCGCTCCGGAGAGCATTTCTCTATCTCCCATGCCTTTTTCAAGCCTGGCTAGAACCTTGAGAATCGTCATTCTTAACCCTAGATCTGTCATATTACCAATGTCTGTATTGATTAGTTCCCCAGCCTTCGGTACTGCCTCTTGCTCTTTTTTTAGTGGTGGGTTTTTCCACCTTGTCATTTTGTCCAGATAAGATTTGCTTTCTCCTCCTCTGGAATTCCACTGTTTTCCTTGGTGAGTGAAGTTGTTCTTGGCTGGGTTTCTTGTTGATCTTCTGTGGGAGGGGCCTGTTGTAGTGATTCTCAACTGTCTTTGCCCCAGGTGGAATTGCACTGCCCTTACCAGGGGCTGGGCTAAGTAATCCACTCGGGTTTGCTTTTGGGAGCTTTTGTTCCCTGAGCACTTTCCATAGAGTTCCGGTGGACGGGAGTGAAGATGGCAGCCTCCCAATCTCCAGCCCAGAGGAGCCGAGAGCTCGGGGCCCCACTCCTCAGTGTGCCCTCAGAGAAAAGCGCCCAACCGTCCCCGTCTCCCTGGCCTCTGGCTGCGCTTGGAGGAAAGCGCTCAATCGCTAGCACTTGGAGAAAAGCGTTCGCTTTTGTCTCCATGGCCTCCTGCTGCGCTCCGAGCTCACCCAGCCTGCGACCAGTTCAAGGTAAGCCCGAGTTGAGAGCTCACTCCTCGGCTTTGTCGCTGTTGCCAGCTTCCCTGCTCTATTACCTGTGAGCTCTGTGACACTCAGACACCCCTGGTCCTTCTGTGACCCCACATGGGCTTCTCCCCAGTTTAGCCTCTGGAACGATGTCCCTCCATGGAGCAGACTTTTAAAAGTCCTGATTTTGTGTTCCATTGCTCTGCTGCATGCTGGGAGCCGGCTCCTCCCCCCACGGTCTATCTTCCCATCACTTTGGATTCACTTCTCCACAGGTCCTACCTTTCAGAAAGTGATCAATTTTCTGTTTCTAGAGTTGTTGCTCTTCTTCTTCGATTTCCCGTTGGATTTGTAGGTGTTCGCAATGGTTAGATAAGCCATCTAGCTGATCTCCTGCTACCTTATATCGTCTCAGCCTGCTACTTCTCTGCCATCTTGACTCTCCCCCCCATAACAGTATTTTTTAAGTTAAAAAAACCAACCAATGACCTATAGCTTAATCACTTTTGATCAGAGGGTTGGTAAATACTGAGTTCAATTTCCCTACAGAATACACTATATGAAGTCAAATATCCAGGGTGGTGGAAGAGAAGTGGCCATATGGAGGAGACACTTTTCCACTCCTAAAACGAGGACTGTAAGTCACATGTGGCAAAGATTCAATGAATGTTGGCTGACTGAACGTAAGGGAAGTAGCACAACCAGCTGAAGAAAGAAAGGCTGGCTACCTTTTCCTTTTCCTTCTTAACCAGTGGGAAACACAACCTGCTTGCCCTGGCCATTTCCATTACCACCAACTCCTAAAAGTGTTCTTAGATAAATATCTGCTGATTTTAAAAATAAAGAGCTGGAGAAGAGTTGAAGGAGGCAAGATTATAAAAGGAATTTTTCATTTCCTCCTCAAAATGTACATGGGTAAAATGTAGAAATGGAAGAAAATAGATTAATTTTACAAAACAATATGTTGAATTTGTATTTAAAATGCAAATTTAAAAGTTCTAACCACTATTGATAATTCACTGTCAAGTGTATACTGCTTTGCCATTCTTTTTTTTTTTTTTTAAGATTTTATTTTCAAGTAATCTTTATACCCAATGTGGGGCTCAAACTCACAACCCGAAGATCAAGAGTCACATGCTCTACCAACAGAGCCAGCCAGGTGCCCTCTGCACAGCCATTCATAAACAACCTCACATAATCCTCACAATAACTATACAAAGTATTCATTCATTTTACAGATGATGAACTGAAACTCAGAGAGGTTAAGTTACTTGCTCAAGGTCAAAATGTCAACAACTGACAGGGTCTGAATTCAAATTTGTGCTGCTGGTTAACATTTTTTTTTTATCTTTTATTGAAATAGTAAATTGGTTATTTTTTTTTATTTTGTTAAGCTAGTCACCTTACTACTCTCTTTATTATGTCACAGCAATGATATCTCATTTACTTAGATTCTATTTAGGTAAAATAAGAAAATCAGAATTTGGAGGAAAAAAGACAGGACTTCCAACTAGAATCAGGAAGCAAAATGTTGTATCAAACTTTGGGGATTTAAAATCATCTTGCTACCTCTTGGTATACTAAAGGGCAGACATCCCATCTTAATCATCCTTGTATTTACTATAGAGAGTACTCAGTACAGCACTTTGTACATAGTAGATCCACCAAAAATATTTATAAAATTGAATTAGTTGCTTGTGTTAGCTTGTGCACATTTACATGTCCTATTAATGTTATACTAAAGCATTGTCTAACAAGCCTACCTGATAGTCATGTGACTCCCTACAGAAGCATAATGCGATTTAACATAGTATTTACTATGGATAAGAGCCCAGATTATAAAATTAGATAATAAAATTTTATATTTTATAAAATATAAAAACTTTGTTTTTAACACTTTGACAATTATGCATTGATACTTTTTAGTGAAAGAGTTTATCTTCTTATGTGATGTTTATCCATTTTGTGGTATGTACACTTTAGTACTCTTATCTTTTGTTGAAGAATTTTGCTTATCTTATGTTTGTTTTACACAGTAGCTGAAAATGAACTTATTGGGATGTTGTAGGTTATCTCACTGAACTGATGGGAAAATTGAGAAAGAAGCATAAACAAAATAGCAGCAGAAAACACAGCTGTGAACTTGTTTCCAAGACAGTCTCCTCAACATGCCACTGTTGGCACTATTGCTACATACTTCATAGAATATCACTGCCAGCAGACACTGTTGCTATATCCACAAGTAGCATGTTAGAATGCCACCACATGCCACAGCATATAAATCCCAAATTCCCCTGATTTTTATGCATCACTCATTCTAGCATTTTAGACAGAGTGTCTACTTGGACAAGCCTACAGCCCCCCCCCAAAAAAAAAAAACTGCTTAAAATTTAAAGAATATTTGTGTCCATTATTTTAATTTCAGATAGTCAATACTTAAAGATAAATTTCTTATATGTTTGCTATAATTATTAACTAAATTTGTACAGGTTTTTACATGAAAAGAGTGGAATCAAACCTTGAATATCCTCTTATATAAGGCTTTTACCTGGGCCAATCCCATCATGACCTATGACAATCTTATATAAATCCCCAAGGTGCACAGCTTCTAGGGAGAAGGTGTCAGTCTGTAACAAATCAAAAGAGTATAGTTAGATCTGGACTATGAGTCTGATTTTTAATAAGATTATATATTAAGATATACTAAAAATTGATTGGGAAAAGAATTAGGGCCATTCAATAAATCTAAATTATGAAGGTAAAGGTAAAACAATGTTAATTTGCAGAACATAATAAGATTTCTAATATACTCCATTCATTTTTGTTAGCCATATGTCCTTATGAAAACATAAATTTGGGGATTCTACAAATATATGTTTCAATAATAGGACATATGAAATAATTATAAAATATACCTCTATTTTTCAGTCCTTTGAATACAACCAATGCATACCTTCCCTAGGGTGAAATTTTTTAAGCAATGTTTATAGGCCATTGACAAATATAATGTTTCTAAAGTAACTTTAGGATATTGATTTTAAAAATTATTAGAAATTTATAACATCTATCTGAATCCCAGTGTGCTGCTACAATAAAAATTATTCATATATCTACTCCAAAGGTTTACGTATTCAGAATATGGGTAAAAGTAAGCAGCACAAAGTTCCTTTGATAAAATCTAAGATAATATTATAGGTTAAAATGCAAGAAAAAAATATATAATGTAGCATATCGGTTGAAAAATCACCCAGAAACAAAAATAACATTTTCATTTCTATAGTGACTTATACATTTTGAAATATTTTCATATATATTTTACTTTAGCCTTAGAAGTCACTCAGTGAGAAAAATATTCATTCCACAAAAAGAAGAGTGAGGCACAGAAAGAGGATTAGAGATCAGTTCCTCTGATATATCACAAAACTACTTTATAGCCACTTTGTCTCTATATAAGTGGACTATAAAGAATATAAATAACATATAAGGCCATTTACATTCATTTAAAAAATATATTGTCTGTCCCTGGTACAGATTAATGTGTAACATCGTCCTCCCTTTATCTATGACACACATCTGATAGAAAGGAGGAATTTCTGTGCAAACAAAATAATAGCAGAGAAAATTATGTTGTAATATTTATAATCATTGATATAGAAAATGCTAAGCAAAATAAAGGAAACATGTAAAGAGAATATCCTGACATACTCACTTAAAAATTATTTGGGTCATCAAAAAAAAAAGCTGAAATAATTAAAATGTAATGATCCTTTTATGCTTTACTCAGTTAAATATAATTAATATTAGTAATAATAAAATTAATATTATATATTCAATTTCCACATTTGACAATGAAAGTTGTTATATACAGTGAATGACATTTAACAATATAAAAGTAGATTTAAAAATCAGACAACAGAGGATGACTTCGCTTCAGCAAGATGGTGGACTAGGGAAAACCAAGCCCTTATTCCCCAGTGGAGACACTATTTTAACAATAATATATGGGCTATAATACTTCTGTGCAAATTCTGGACACCAGATGAGAAGCTGCAGTACCTACTCGAATGCATAATAAAAAAGGAACTCCATCTAAAGAGGTAGGGAAGCTTGTGATTTTTTCATGCTCTACTTGGCATAGTGTGTTGTAATTGAGAGGAAACTTTCCATATCCTGGATCCTCTTCTGGGACAAAAACAAAAGAATGGATAATGTACACAAACTTCTGTCTTCTCTGGGAGCTGCTCAAATAACTGATTTCTCTCTCACTTAACTCAAGTACTAATGGCAACAGAGTTTGGAAGCCAATGAAAACAAAGGGGAGGACTGTGACAAGTCAGAGCTACAGAGATTGTCAATTATACAGCAGGCAGACAAGGGGTGAAGTGTAAGAGAATATGAGCACAGGAGAAGAAACAGGAGCAAGCAGCTTAGGGAAATTAAGACAGTTAAAAGCATATATACAAGCCCAGAGAGGATACAGCCAAAAATAGTATGAGAGGCCCTGAAAACTCTAACCAGATTCATTGGTGAGGGTCTTCCCCTCTAAATGCAGTCCTTCAAGAGTAGGCAAGATAGTTGTTTTTTCAAATGCCAAATCTCAAGAAAAGATCACAAGACATATAAAAAGGAAACATAGCTCAATCAAAGGAACAAAATAAATTACAGAAACCAATCATAAAGAAATGGAGATCTCTGAACTTTCTGAGAAATAAATTAAAACTGTCTTAAATCTGCTCAGTAAGCTAAAAAATAACACAGAAAGTCAACTGAACAAAAGCAAGAAATTGATGAACAAAATGAGAATATCAACAAAAAGAAAAATAAGAAAGCACCAAATACACTGTATGTCAACTAACAAAATTTAAATTAAAAAATTAAAAAATCACCAAATAGAATTTCGGGAGCCCATACATACAATAACTGAATCAACAAGTTCATTAAATGACTTGGATAACTGACTTGATCAGGCAGAAGAAAAAAAAGTAACCTTGAAGACAGACCATTTGAAATCATCATAATGGGAGGGAAAAAAATGAAAAAAAGTGAAAAGAACAGAAGAGATTTATGGAATAACACAAGCAGATTGGTATATACATTATGGGAATCACAGAAGAAGAAAGAGAAAGGGGCAAAGAGCTTATCTGAAGAATTGTCAAAAAAAAATCTAAGAGAAATGGACATACAAATTCAAGATGACCAATTAATAACAAGTCAGGAAATGACAGATGCTGGCAAGGATGCAGAGAAAGGGGAACCCTCCTACACTGTTGGTGGGAATGCAAGCTGGTACAACCACTCTGGAAAACAGCATGGATGTTTCTCAAAAAGTTGAAAATAGAGGTACCCTATGAACCAGCAATTGCACTACTGGGTATTTACCCTAAAGATACAAACGTAGTGATCCGAAGGGGCACATGCACTGGAATGTTTATAGCAGCAATGTCCACAATAGCCAAACTGTGGAAAGAACCTAGATGTCCATCAACAGATGAATCAATAAAGAAGATATGGTATATTTATACAATGGAATACTATGCAGCCATCAAAAGAAATGAAATCTTGCCATTTGCAACAACATGGATGGAACTAGAGGGTATTATGCTTAGTGAAATAAGTCAATCGGAGAAAGACAACTATCATATGATCTCCCTGATATGAGGTAGTAGGGGGTTTGGGGGGTAGGAAAAGAATAAGTGAAACAAGATGGGATCAGGAGGGAGACAAACCATAAGAGACTCTTAATGTCACAAAACAAACTGACGGTGGCTGGGGGGGAGGTGGGTAGGGAGAGGGTGGTGGGGTTATGGACATTGGGGAGGGTATGTGCTATGTTGAGTGCTGTGAAGTGTGTAAACCTGGCGATTCACAGACCTGTACCCCTGGGGCTAATAATACATGATATGTTTTTTAAAATTAGGAAAAAAAATTTTTTAAAAAGATGACCAATTAATTTTAAGATAAACATAAAGGACCCAAACCAAGATCCATAAAAATCAAATTGTCAAAAGTTAAAGACAAAGAGAAAATCTAGAAAGCACTGAAGAAAAATGACTCATGGTGTACTAGCAAGGATTTATAAGTTCACGAGTGGATTCCTGAGCAGAAATCATTCAAGCTAGATGACAATGTGTAATGCATTGAAACTGCTGAAAAAAAATCTGCTAACAATGAATTTTATATCAGATGTAACTGTCTTTCAAAAACAAAAAAGAAATCAAGAGTTTTTCCCCAGATAAAACAAAAACTAAGGAAATTCATTACCACCAGGTTGTCCTACAAGAATGTTAAAGGGATTCATTCAAGTTGTGAAAAAGAACAGCATATAGCAACACAAATCCATACAAAAACATATTCTCCCAGTGAAGGTAAATACATAGACAAAGTACAGCAACTTCTATTAGTATAATTTTGGTGCATAGGTCCACTTTACTATATAGAACTAAAAGACAAAAGTATCAAAAACTATAAATCTATGTAATGGGTTTACAATATATAAAGATATAATTTGTGACATATAGATGTGATATATGTCAACACACTGGAAAAGCTAGAACAAATAGATAAATTCCTAGAAACACAAACCTTTTAAGAGTGAATCTCAAAAAGCAGGAAATCTGAATATACCGATTACAAGTAATTAAATAGAATCAGTAATTTTAATAAAGTCCCCCTCTCCCCACAAAAAAAAAAAAAAAGGAAAGGAAAAAAGAAAAAGAAAAAAGAAAAGAAAAGGTCAAGGACCAGATAACTTCACAGGTGAATTACACCATTTAAAAAAGAGTTAATACCTGATAGCTACATGCCAAAGAATGAAACTGGACCACTTTCTAACACTATACGCAAAAATAAGTTCAAAATGAACTAGGGACACCTGGGTGGCTCAGTTGTGAAGCATCTACCTTAGATTTATGTCATGATCCCAGGATCCTGGGTTTGAGTCCCACATCAGGCCCCCTGTTCATTAGGAAGCCTGCTTCTCCCTCCTCCACTCCCTCTGCTTGTGTCCCTCTCTCACTGTCTCTCTCTGTCTGCCAAATAAATAAATAAAATCTTTTTTTTAAATGGTCTAAAGACTTAAATGTGAGACTTGAAACTATGAAAAAGAAAAAAAAAACTAGAAGAGAGTGCAGGTAGTAGTTTCTGACACTGGCCACAGTAACATCCTTTTTGATATGTCTGCTAAGGAAAAAAAAAAAAAAAGCCCAACTTAAACTACTGGAACATCAAAATAAAAAGCTTTTACACAATGAGTGAAACCATCAACAAAACAAAAAGGCAAACTACTGAATGGGAGAAGATATTTGCAAATCATACATCCAAAGAGATGTTAGTATCCAAAATGTATGAAGAACTTATAAAACTCAATATGAAAAACAAGTAACTTGGTTAAAAAATGGGTAGAGGCCTTGAATATATATTACTCACAGAAAACATACACATGGCCAACAAACACATGAAAAGATGTTCAAGATCACTGGCCATCAGGAAAATCTAATTCAAAACCACAATGATGCCCAACTTTTGTATCAACATGGATGGGACTGGAAGAGATTATGCTGAGTGAAATAAGTCAAGTAGAGAGATTCAATTATCATATGGTTTTGCTTATTTGCAGAACATAAGGAATAACACAGAGGACATAGGGAGATGGAGAAAAGGGAGTTGGGGGAAATTGAAGAGGGAGATGAACCATGACAGACTGTGGACTCTGAAGGAGGGTTTTGGAGGAGTGGGGGATGAGAGGTTGGGTGAGCCTGGTGGTGTGTATTATGGAGGGCACATATTGCACAGAGCACTGAGTATGGTGCATAAATGATGAATTCTGGAACACTGAAAAGAAATTAAAAAAATAAATAATTTTTTTTAAACCCACAATGATGTATCACCTCATGGTTGTCAGTTTGGCTATTATCCAAAAGACAAGAAATAACAAGTGTTGGAGAGGATGTGAAGAAAAGTGTACTCTTGTACACTATTGGTAGAAATGTATTTGTGCAACCACAGTGGAAAACAGTGCAAAGTATTCTCAAAAAAATTGAAAAAGGATTACCACATGATCTAACAATTCCACTTCTGGGTATTTATCTGAAGAAAAGGAAAACACCAATTTAAAAAGATATATGTATTCCTGTGTTAATTACAACATTATTTACAATAGCCAAGATATGAAAGCAACCTAAGTGTCCCTGGATAGATGAACGGATAAAGAAGGTGTGGGGTATACACACACACACAATGGAATATTACTGAACCATAAAAAAGAATAAACTTTTGCCATTTGCAACAACATGAATATGACTAGAGCATATTATGCAAAATGAAGTAAGTCAGACAGAGAAGGACAAATACTATATGATTTCAGTTATTTGTAGAACCTAAAGAACAAAACAAATGAACATACAGAATAGAAATAGACTCATTGATACCAGAAACAAACTGGTAGTTACCAGATGGGTGAGGGATTAGGGTAGAGAGGTGAAATATGTGAAGGGTATTAAGAGGTACAAACTTCCAATTATGAATAAATAGATCCCTGAAATGTAATGTACAGCATAGGGAATATAATCAATAATATAATAATTTTGTATGGTGACAGATGGTAACTACATTTAACATAGAGATTTCTTCATATTGTATAACAAATTGAGTCTCACTCTGTACACACTTAATAGGATATTGTATATCAATTATACTTCAATTTTAAAAAATTGCTGAAATAAATAAAAGCAGGCAAAAATAAATGGAAAGACTTAATATTGTTAAGTTGTCACTACTACCAAAGCAATCTATGGAGTCAACACAATCCCTATCAAAATTGCAATGACAATGCATAGAATTGCCAAATCACTATGTCGTACACCTGAAGCTATTATAACATTGTATGGCAACTATTCTTCAATTTAAAAAATATATATATTTTTTCAATATCCCAATGGCATTTTGCATAAGTAGAAAAAAGCAACCAATAATTCACATGGAATCTCAAGGATGCTGAATAGTAAAATAATCTCTAAAAAAGAAGAACAGGGGTGCCTGGGTGGCACAGTCATTAAGTGTCTGCCTTTGGCTCAGGTCATGATACCAATGTCCTGGGATGTAGCCCCATATCGGGCTCCCTGCTCAGTGGGGAGCCTGCTTCTCTCTCTCCAGCTTCCATGTGCTTGTGTTCCCTCTCTCTGTCATAAATATATAAAATCTTAAAAAAAAAAAAAACTAAAAACAAATAAATATAAAGAAGAACAAACTTAGAGATTTCACACTCCTTAATCTTAATACATATTACAAAGCTATAGTAATTAAAACAGCATGGTACTAACATAAAGACAGATATACAGACAAATACTGTAGAACAGGGAGCCCAGAAAAAAAAAAAAATGTTTATATTTTTTCAAACATCTCTGACCAAGGTGTCAAGACCACTTAATAGGGAAAAGAAAATCTCTTCAATATACTGTTGATTAATCTAGATATCCACATGCAAAAGAATGAAGTTGGACCCTTACTTTATAACATATACAAAATTAACTCAAAATGGATTAAAAATTTAAACAGAATAATCAAAACTAAAAACTCTTAGAAAAAAAATAGGGAGAAAGGTTGGGAACACTGGATTTAGCAATGATTTCTTAGATATGACACCAAAAACATAGAAAAAGATAAAAGCAAATTAGACAAAGGAGACTACATGAATTAAAAAGTTCTTAGCATCAAAGGATACAAACAAAAGAATGAAAAGGCAAATTCCAGAATGGAATAAAATATTTACAAATCATATTTGTGATAAGCGATATATCCAGAGTACAAAAAGAACTCCTTGGGGCACCTAAGTGGCTCAGTCGTTAAGTGTCTTGCCTTCAGCCCAGGACCCTGGGATCAAGCTCCACATTGGGCTCTGTTCTCTGTGGAAAGCCTGCTTCTCCCTCTCTCAGTCCCCCTGATTGTGTTCCTGTTCTTGCTGTCTCTCTCTGTGTGTCAAATAAATAAAATCTTTTAAAAAGGAAAAAGAACTCCTACAACTCAACAAGAAGTAGACAAATGTCTAAATTTTAAAACAGCCAAGGACTTGAATAAACATTTCTCCAAAGACAATACACAAATGATGTGAAAGTAACATTTAACAGTAGAGAGAAGCAAATCAAAACCATGATGGGACAACACCTCACATCCATTAGGATGGTTACTACATAAAAAAAATTTACATTTAAAAACAGAAAATAAGTGTTGGCAAGGATGTGAAGAAACTGGAACCCTTGTGCATTGTTGGTGAGACTGTAAAATGGTGCATTTGCTGTGAAAACACTATGCCAATTCCTCACAAAATTAAAAATAGAAGTTCCATATAATCCAGCTATCCTGCATATATTCAAAAGAATTGAATGAACAGTACTGAAGGGATATTTGCACACTTACTACATTATTTTTAATAGGCAAGAGTTTGAAAGAACCAAAATTTCCATCAATGTATGAATCGATTAAAAAATGTGGTATATATGTACAATAAAATATTATCCAGCTTTAAAAAGGAAGGAAATCTGATCACACTGTACTGCATGGATGAATATTGAAGACATTATGCTAAGTGGAATAAGCCAGTCACAAAAAGACAATTATTGTACAATTCCAATTATATGAGATATCTGAAGTAGTCAAATTTATAGAAACAGAAAGTAGAATGTGATTGACAAGGGCTGAGGGGAGGGGTAAATATGCAGTTCTTTAATCAGTACAGAGTTTCAGTTTTGTAGGATGAAAAATTTCTAGATTACTGTGAATATACTTAACACTAGGGAACTTAAAAACACTTAAACATAATTACAACTTTAGTAAAGTTTTATTTTATTGTTTTACCACAATTAAAAAAAATCAGACAAAGGATTTTGTCACTTACTTGTCCTCTTAAAAAACTGAAGGAGCTCTTTGATTGAAATAGTTGTCTAGATCCTGAATCTCCCTTATCCCCATAGATAGAAATGTACACACTTGCTCCTGTTCCAGCATTCCAACGCTCACCTGTTGCCACATGCACTTCGTATACTGTCACTGACAACAAAAGAAAAATAATTTTATATGCCAAGAATTACTCTTATGATAGAAAAAATACTTATATCTAATAAAGAGTTCTAGTTCCAGTTAAAATGCAGTAACACATTATACCCAGTTTCTCCCACTGAATACAACTAGAAAATTTTGATAAAATACATGGTACAACTACAGAAAGATGCTGAAGAGTAAACTCTTCTGGAGGGATTGGGAAAGAAGACCAGATTTTGAGGTGCCAACAAGTGGTACTGTCTTTTTTTTTTTTTTTTTTTTTTTGTCCCCTATTTCCCACCCTGAACTCAGTTCACCAGAAACCTGGAAATAGGCACTGAAGCTCAGACAGAGGCAGCTCAGGAGAGACCTCTTCCTCAGGCTTAAGAACCAGGAAAGAAAATTCCTAACACATAGGGACAGTACAGATACTGTACCGTTCTTTGTTTGTTGTTTGTTTGTTTGTTTGTTTGTTTGTTTTTGGCCTTTCATTTCTTCATTCTCTCACATCTCAGTGCCTATGCACAGAAGCAAACAGGAACCAACACTCTGAGGGAGAATTTCTGCCTCTGTTCACAGGATCTGGGCTTCAGTAGGGTGGGGCCAATCTCAATTGCTTTCTTTGCTCTCTCTGTTCTATCACTACTTAGCCCTGGACATAGGAAGACCACAGAAATGTACAGCAAAGTAGGTAAACTAAAGCATCAGCTAACCCATCAAAAGACCAAAAATGGAGCCAGGGAACTGGAAAGTACCAAAGAGGTTCATAGAGGGAAGAAAGGCAAACACAGAAAGCTCTTTATTAACTCCTGAGCTCATCCCTAAACTAAAGATGCATGAATACCAAAGATTCTGAGATCTAAACTAACAGATAAACCCTCATGTAGGCCCTAGATTCACTAATGAATAGTATACAGGTGGGACAGATCTGAATAGCACTGCCAACTCTTTTAAAACTAAACTGGCATTGGAACCACAGCCTGAAACTAACCAGTGGTCAACTACCTGTTCAAACAAAAATATAAACATTTTCCATAGGATTTAAATAACATCCAGTCTCAAATAGTAATATGTAAAATATCCAGGATATAATTCAAAATTATTCAGCATATAAAGAACCAGAAAAATTTCAAATCATATGGGAGAAGAAAATGACAAGAGATATCAACTTCAAAATGATACCAAGTATTGGAATTATCTGACAAAATCTTTACAACAACTATGATACAAATGGTACAGTAACAATCATGAGCACTTTCAAAACAGATAGAAATACAGAAAGTATCAATAAAAGAAAACTTAAAAAAGGAACAAATGGAAATCGTAGACCTCAACAAACACCATAAGCAAATTTTAAAACTCACTGAATAGCATCAAGAGAATGAGGAGGACATAAGACAACATTAGTGAACTTGAAAAGAGAGTAAATAGAAATTATGTAAGTTAACAAAAGAGAAAAAAATGTTTTAAAAATTAAAAAATAAATGAACAGAGCCTCAGGGACCTATGGAACAATAAAAAAAAAATCTAACACTCATGTCACACAGTAGCTGAAGGAGAGGAGAAAGGGTATGAAACATAAATAAATAAATAAATAAATAAATAAATAAATAATAGAAAAAAGAAAAAAAAAGAAAATTGGCCCAATAAAAGGAACAAATTAAATCTGAAAAAAAAAGAAAACCAACCATAAAGTAATGGAGATCTATGAGTACCCTGACAATAAGTTCAAATACTCATCTTAAAGATAAAAAATGAGCTAAGAGAGAACACAGAATTACAACTAAATAACATCAGGAGAACTATGCACAAATGAGAGTATCAAAAAAGAGGTAGAATCTATGAAGAACCAAACAAATTCTGGAGCTGAAGAATACATTAACCAAATTAAAAAATCCATTAAACAGATTTAACAAGTAAACTGACCAGCAAAAGAATCAGTGAACTTGAAGACAAGCAGATGATTTGATTACCTAGTCAGAGAAGCAGAAAAAGAACATGTGGCTTTAAAAAGGAAGAAAATTCTGGCTGGGAGGAAGCAAGATGATGAAGGAGTAGAAGACTAAAATATCACCAGGTCCCAGGAGTTCAGCTAGATAATTATCAAACCATTCTGCACACCTATAAACACAACAAAACATAGAAGAAAAGAAGAGCACAATTCTAGGAAAAGAAAATCGACCACTTTGCTGAAGGTAGGATGTGCAGAGAAGAGAATCTGATGAGATAGGAAGATAGAATGCGTGGGGAAGGGCTGGCTCCCAGCATATGAGAGAGCAGTGGATCTCAAAATGGAACTTTTAGAAGTCTGCTCCACTGAGGGACATCACTCTAGAGGCTAAATGGGGGTTGGAGCCCTCATGGGGACAGTGTAGTCTCAGGACCTGCAGGGTCATAGAAAGACTGGGGTTGTCTGAGAGTGGCAGATCTCCCAGGTGTTGGATCAGGGAAGCTGCCTACAGAGATGGAGCCAAGGAGTGCACTCTCAGCTCAGGGTTAATTTAAACTGTGATCTGAGAGAGAGTCGGGCCACTGCTCATCAAGTGGGGACCTCATGAGTGGCAGATTGGGAGAGACCCCCTCCTTCCTCTTCTGGGAGGAGCGGTGCAGGAGCATGCTGCAGGGATCTACTGGGTTTGGAGACTCCAAATGGGGCCATGCACCAGAGATAGGGTGAGCTCTGAATGCAACCAGAGACGGAGAAGGGAGGGATTGACTGCTTTTCTCTGAGGGGGGCCTGAGCACTGGGACCCTGAGCTCTCTGCTCTTATGGTGCAGAGATTGGGAGGCCGCCATTTTCATTCCCACCCTCCAAAGATCCACAGAAAACATTCAGGATACAAAAGCTACTAAGAGTAAACTAAGCAGATTACTTAGCCTGGCCCTGGCAAGTGTGGTGCAATTCTGGCTTGGGCAAAGACATTTGAGAATCACTGAAACAGGGCCCTCCCCCAGAAGATCAGGAAGAACATCCAGCCAGGAACAAGTTCACTGATCAATGAGAACTGTGGAACTTGAGAGCTAGGGGAAAGAAACACATAGAATTCATGGCTTTTTCCCCAAAATCCTATAGTACTTCAAAGCTAATTTTTTTTAATTTTATTTTGTTCTTATTCTACCTTTCCTCCTTCCTATTTTAACCTTTTTTAACTATTTTATCTCATCAATACCATTTTTTAAAATCTTTTAAAATTTTCATTTTTATAGTCATATTCTAACCCTTCATTGTATTAACTTTATTTTTTGTATACATATAGTTTTTTTTTCTTTAAATTTTTGTGATACAATTTCTTCTAATAGATCAAAATGTACCCTAAATCTATAACATGGCTTTGTTCTAGTCTCCAGCCTGATCACATTCTCTCTTTGTTTTTTCTTTTTTTAACCAACTTATCAATTCCTTTTTTAGAATCCTTTGAAATATATATTTTTTTCTTTCTTTAAAATGTTGGGAGGTAGCTTCTTTTAAGAGACCAGAATACACCCCAAATCAAGTGGGTGGTTCCATTCTATTCACCAGTCTAATATTTCTTTTAATTTTTAAGTTTTAATTTTTTCCCCATTATTTCTCCCTGTAGTTTCAGGTCTTTTCTGATTTGGTTAGCATATATTTTTCTGGGGTCTTTGTCACCCTTTTAGTATTTTGTTCTCTCATTTATCTATTCTTATCTGAATAAAATTACAATGTAGAAAAACTCACCACAAAAAAGAAAGAGAAAGAAAGAAAGAAAGAAAGAAAGAAAGAAAGAAAGAAAGAAAGAAAAAGAGGCAGTACCAAAGGCTAGGGACCTAATCAATACAGACATTAGTAATGTGTCAGAACTAAAGTTCAGAATGATGGTTACCAAGGTGCAAGCAAGTCTCAAAAAAAGTAAGGAAGATATTAGAGAATCCCTTTCTGAATAAATAAAATCAATTTCTGGAGAAATAAAAGAACTAAAATCTAACCAAGTTGAAATTTAAAAAACCTATTAAGGAAGTGTAATAAAAAATGGAGGCTCTTATTCTAGGATAAATGAGGCAGAAGAGAGAATTAATGATATAGAAGACCAAATGATGGAGAATAAAGTAGCTGAGCAAAAGAGAGACAAACAACTACTAGACCACGAGGGGAGAATTTGAGAGATAAGTGATACCATAAGATTAAGCAATATAAGAATAATTGGGATCCCAGAAGAAGAAAGACACAGAGGGGCAGAAGCTATGTTGGAGCAAATTATAGAAGAGAATTACCCTAATATGACAAAAAGAACAAGCATCAAAATCCAGGATGCACAGAGAATGCCCCTCAAATCAATAAAAATGGGTCCACACTCCATAATCTAATAGTAAAACTTACAAGTCTCAATGACAAAGAAGAAATACTGAAAGCAGCTTGGAACAAGAAGTCTGTAACATACAATGGTAGAAATATTAGATTGGCAGCAGACCTATCCACAGAGACCTAGAAGGCAAGAAAGGACTGGTATGATTTATTCAGAGCACTAAATGAGAAAAATATGCAGCCAAGATTCGATATCCAGCTAGGTATCACTGAACATAGAAGGAGAGATAAAAAGCTTCCAGGGCAAACAAAAATTGAAAGAATTTGCAAAAACCAAACTGGCCCTACAGGAAATATTGAAAGGGTCCTCTAAGCAAAGAGAGAGCCTAAAAGTAACAGACCAGAAAGGAATAGAGACAATATACAGTAACAGTCACCTTATAGGCAATACAATGGCACTAAATTCATATCTTTCAATAGTTAGCCTGAATGTAAATAGGATAAATGCCCCAATCAAAAGACACAGGGTATCAGAATGGATTTTAAAACAACACCCATTGATATGCTGTCTATAAGAAACTCATTTAATACCCAAAGATACCTCCAGATGTAAAGTGAGGGGGTCGAAAACAATTTACCATGCTAATGGACATCAAAAGATAGCTGTGGTGGCAATCTTTATATCAGATAAATTAGATTTTAAGCCAAAGACTATATAATAAGAGATGAGGAAGGACAGTATATC